CAACGTTTTATGCCTAACCTCAATAAAACCTTATTTTATTACCAAATACTACACTATGGGAGTATCTTTGTTACCCCCTGTGGGAGCACTCTAATTTACAGACCTACTCCTGGATACACCGGAGGGACCCGGACCAGATCTCTTACCATCCAACATCAGGGGGACCCCTAAGTGGAGAGGATCATCAGCCTCATATACAGCTGAGGGAGGACCACCCAGTACCGGATGACATCTGGATCATTTATACACAAAGGCGCATAATTTATGCGGGTCTGGTGAGTGCGCATTGCTTTATCACTTACGTGCACGGATACCAAGATCAAGTCACCTGATCACCTGAGCACCCATTCTCTTCCATCTATTTGCAGGAGGACTTTTTTATATTGATCATACATTGATTGAATATATGTCATTATCTACAAACGTTTAGCGCTGCACTTTATTTATATGTTTATTACGGTCTTTTAGGGGTTATTGGTACCTCATTTGTGCATAGCAGCTTTACAATATTTAGTACTAAGGCGCTTCTTCCCAGTCTCTTTTATGCTTCTCTGAATTGTTTGTACTGGCTGGGGCTAGAGCTTTATGGGTAGCAAAAGAAGGCCCTGACCTAGAACAAACATATGCTATGCAACCTACACAACAACATGGAGGGTCCACACGTATTGGAGGTGCCTTGACGTGCCAGTGTGGTTTCCACAATCATTTTTTCATTTGTGTTTTTTTTTTTTTTGCTGGCTAGCTTGAAAGTGTGCTGGGAGCCCCTTTACTATTTTTATATTGCCCTACCCTTGTGCACCTTTCCCTTTTTGGATAGCTGCCATATTTTTTATTTCTACCAGAACAAAGCTGGTGCTTCCCAGAGAAAAGAGCAGATGAAGACATTGTCAGGGTACCGCTCTCCTCCTTGCCATGGCTTCCCACTTCTAAACGTCCATCTGCCCTTAGCCCGACGCTGACGCTCTCGCTCTGTCTCTGGGATTCTATCAAATTTTCCGCTGGCCTTATTTCTGCTCACCTGCCGCTGTTACGACTATTGCATAACCCGTTATTCCCTCCAGGTCGGGACAATCCCAGGCAGTTTGCCTGGTGGCAAATGCATGGTTTTTACGATGTACATTCACTTCTATCTCCCACTCGAATACTTTCCTTTGAAACTCTGCGCTCTTCTTATAATATTCCTTTGCGGGAACACTTTGGATATCTTCAACTTCGTCACTTTGTCAATACACTAATACGCACGCATTCGGGACCGTATCGTCTGTCTCCCTTTGAAAGCCAGTGCAGACATAGACCCTATGCTCCGGGTTTGATTTCCCTGATTTACTCCTCCATCATTTCGTATAGAACCCCTCCGGTTCGCTCCTATCATCAGCGCTGGCAGTCTGAATTAGGGGGGACTTTGAACCAACAGGATTGGCGGACCATGACCCAAGCATTATCTAAATGCTCTAGGAATGTCATTATTCTTGAGAATGCCTACAAAATTCTGTATCGATGGTATTATACACCTGCTCGTTTAGCTAGTTTCATCCCTACATATTCCCCGGTTTGCTTTCGTGGATGCCAACAATTGGGTACCATGGCTCATATCTGGTGGACTTGCCCTAAAGTAAGCAGATTATGGATTAGGGTGTATGCCCTCCTTCGCACTATGCTTCACACAGATATTAAGCGTAACCCGTACGAAGCGCTTCTATTTAAACCAATGGAGGGCCTTCTCCGTTCTGAATAGCAGCTGGCATCATACTTATTTATGGCTACTAAGTTGACAATTGCGAGGGCTTGGAAGACTCCTCTTCTCAGCTTTGAGGCTGTCAAAAATCGGATGAACTTCATAATGGTTAATGAAAAATTGACGGCCATATTATTGGATACCCATACAAAATGTTTGCGGATATGGCGTCCCTGGCTGGATATAGCCCAACCATCGAGATTCGACCAGTCCCTTCTGTCGATATGAGGTTGGATTCTGCTGCAATCTCCCCGGAGCCCTACTCCCCCCCCCTTTTTTTTTCTTTTTGTTTTTTTTTCTCTTCTTCTCTCTCCTCTTGGTCTGTGTCTTTATTATACTCTTGTCCAATATTTTTTGATGTAGCAATTTTCACTCTCAGAATCTACACTATCACTGACCATCAAAGACTGTGAATCGTACCCCTTCTACCGGGTATTTCTGTTATAAGTTATAGCTGATGTTTTGAGTTTTTTTTTTTCCAATGTGCACGTTACATTATTTCTCAATCATACAGTACAATTTTCTATGTATTGGTCAAGGATTCTATGTTCCGAATGTTTGTTTCTCATTGCTCAATCTACAATAAAATTCTTTGTAAAAGAAGACATTGTCAGGGGAAGCACTGCATTGTCTATGAAAGGTTATAAAAACCAGTAAGTGTTAGGGCTTGTTCACACTTCTCCCAAACACCCCTATAGCGTTTGACAAGTGTTAGGCATTTGGGGAGCGTTTTTAATGCTCCTGAAATGCTCCCCAAATGCCCTATGCACATTTTTTAGGCATTTTCCAAGCGGTAAAGCCACACCACAAATGCCTAGAATGAAGTTAATGGTATTAACGCCTTGCAAACGCCCTGCAAATGCCTGCCAAGCTTTTGAGGAGCATCACCATAGACTTGAATGGGAGGCGGTGAAAGGCTTCAACGCCTCCTGACCAGGGGTGGACTGACCATTTGAAAACTTAGGCATTGCCTGAGGGCCCGGGGTCAGTAGGGGGCCCCATGAGATGTCCCTGGTACCTTTTTCATAGGCTTTTTTGAGTTTGGGCAAGGACACAGGGGCCTCATGATCCCCTATTGCCCGGGGGCCCCATGAGTTGTCAGTCGGCCCCTGCTCCTAGTACTCCACATGAGGTGTCAATTTTGCCGCGACGCTAATGCTTCAGTGTGAACAGCACTGTTTGCTGTCATGTGTATAATTTTCATAGGCGTTTGAGGAGCGTTAAACACGCCCTTCAAATGCCTGTAAAACGCCTGCTTACAAAGCTAGTGTGAATTTAGCCAAATGCTTACACATGACTTAGTATATATGCATTGAACGTAAAGAAATATATCTGATGCAGACTGGAGAAAAATACATAAAGCAACAACCATAGGCTGACCGTATGATGCTGTCACAACAGATACTGCATCTAAACTTCCATACCACAATGTCTGGTCTTTATTTTATCACCAATATGAATAGGGGTGCTCCATTGTAAAACCCTCACCTTGTAAAACAATCCATTCAGTTTAAAATAGAAATGCAAGGTAAAACATTTGTGCATATGCTATATATATAAAAAAAAATGTTAAATACCTTTTTTCCCCTTTTTTATAAGTGATCACATACCTTCTGTTCTCAGCTGCACAAGAGCTGGAAGAGGGAAAAGAACAGTACACTGATCTTCCCAGTGAATGGCTGTGCAGGGGGGGAGTGTCAGGATAAGACTGATCATTGGAGGAGAGCAGACTGAACACGCTGTGTTCTCATGCCTAGTGTGGTGAGGGTATGGTGTATTTACCAAATTATTTATTTATTTATTACAGGTACTTATATAGCACCGTCAATTTACACAGTGCTTTACATATATATTGTACATTCACATCAGTCCCTAACCCTCAAGGGGTGTACAATCTAAGGTCCCTAACTCACATTCATACATACACATACTAGGGACAATTTAGACAGGAGCCAATTAACCTACCAGCATGTCTTTGGAGTGTGGGGAGGAAACCAGAGTACCCAGAAGAAACCCACGCAGGCACAGGGAGAATATGCAAACTCCAGTCAGGTATTATCATGGTTGTGTAAGAATATTACAGGCTTTGCAGGTACTACTAAAAGCAGTACTCACAAAGCCAGTTATAAAGCATTTCCCACAAAGCCAGACATAAAGTAGTACTCTGTTATAACTGGCTTTGTGAGAAATGCTTTATCTCTGGCTTTGTAGCACTCACAAAACCAGTTATAAAGCATTTCTTACAAAACCATTTATAAAGCATTTTTCACAAAGCCAGTTTTAAAGCATGTCTCGTAAAGCCAGTCATAAGAGAGTAATGTTTTATATCTGGGTTTGTAAGAAATGAATTATGTTTAGTTTTGTGAGCAATACTTTAAACCTGGCTTTGTGAGGAATGCTTTAAAACTGGCCTTGTGATCAAAGATTAATGACTGGTTTTGTGAGTACCCTTTTATATCTTGCTTTGTGAGTAATGCCTAATGACTGGCTTTGTGAATATTGCAAAGCAGATTATAAAGCATAAATCCAATTTTAAAGGGGTACTCACAAAGCCAGTAATTAATTTTTGATCACAAAGCCAGTTATAAAGCATTCCTCACAAAGCCAGTTGTAAAGGAGTATTGCTTTATATCTGGCTTTGTGAGCAATGCTTCATACCTGGCTTTGTGAGCACCCCTTTATAACTGGATTTGTGAGTAATGCTTCATAACTGAGTTTGTGTGCAATGCTTAATAACTGGCTTTGTGAGTACCCCTTTCTAATTGAAATGGTGAGTAATGCTTTATAACTGGCATTGCAGTGCTCACAAAGCCAAGTATAAAGAATTTCTCACAAAGCCAGTTATAAAGTAATACTAGGAGTGGACTGTCCATTTTAGCACTTGGGCACTGCCCAAGGGCCCGGGGTCAGTGGGGGGCCCCATGAAATGCCCCTGGTACTTTTTTTATAGGCTTTTTTGGATGTGCTTTGAATGTGGACAAGGACACAGGGGCCCCATGATCCACTATTGCCCGGGGGCCCCATGAGTTGTCAGTCCGCCCCTGAGTAGTACTGCTTTATACCTTGCTCTGTGAACAATGCTTTGTACCTGGCTATGTGAGCAATGCTTTATATCTGGCGCTGTGCGCAACACTTTGTACCTGGCTTTGTGAGCAGTGCTTTATATCTGGCTTTGCAATACTCACAAAGCCAGGTATTAGGCAATACTCCTTTATACCCCTGAGGTAGATGTAGATACACTATATTGCCAAAACTATTGGGACACCCCTCCAAATCATTGGATTCAGGTGTTCCAATTCCCTCCATGGCCACAGGTGTATAAAATCAAGCACCTAGGCATGCAGACTGCTTCTACAAACATTTGTGAAAGAATGGGTCGCTCTCAGGAGCTCATTGAATTCAAGCGTGGTATCGTGATAGGTTGTCACCTGTGCAATAAGTCCATCCATGACATTTCCTTGCTACTAAATATTCCAAGGTCAATGTTAGTGGTATTATAACAAAGTGGAAGCAACTGGGAACAACAGCAACTCAGCCAAGAAGTGGTAGGGCCACGTAAAATGACAGAGTGGGGTCAGCGCATGCTGAAGTGCATAGTGTGCAGAAGTCGCCAACTGTCTGCAGAGTCAATAGCTAAAGATCTTCAAACCTTGTGTGGCCTTAAAATTAGCACTATAACAGTGCATAGAGAGCTTCATGGAATGGGTTTCCATGGCCGAGCAGCTGCATTTAAGCCTTACATCACCAAGTGCAATGCAAAACGTCGGATGCCGTGGACTCTGAAACAGTGGAGATTTGCTCTCTGGAATGATGAATTATGCTTCTCTGTCTGGCAATCTGATGGATGTGTCTGGGTTTGGTGGTTGTCAGAATAACGATACTAACCTGACTGCATTATGCCAAGTGTAACGTTTGGTGGAGGGTGGATTATGGTGTGGGGTTGTTTTTCAGGGGTTGGGATTGGCTCCTAATTTCCAGCAAGAGGGACTCTTAAGGCGTCAGCATACCAAGACATTTTGGACAATTTCATGCTCTCAACTTTGTGGGAACAGTTTGGGGATGGCCCCTTCCGGTTCCAACATGACTGCGCACCAGTGCACAAAGCAAGGTCCATAAAGACATGGATGAGCGAGTTTGGGGTGGAGGAACTTGACTGGCCTGGATGGAGTCCTGACCTCAACCCAATAGAATACCTTTGGGATGAATTATAGCGGAGACTGCAAGCCAGACCTTCTAGTCCGACATCAGTGCCTGACCTCACAAATGCGCTTCTGGAAGAATGGTCAAACATTCCCATAGACACACTCCTAAACCTTGTGGACAGCCTTCCCAGAAGAGTTGAAGCTGTTATAGCTGCAAAGGGCGGGGCCAACTCAATATTGAACCCTACGGACTAAGACTGGGATGTCATTAAAGTACATGTGCGTGTAAAGGCAGCCGTCCCAATACTTTTGGCAATATAGTGTATGTTTACATTATTAGCTGGCATTATGTACAAGATGTTGGAATAGACAAACTTATAACATATGCAATTCGGTTTACTCATGAACTGCGAGGATTTCCAGTGAACAAGGTCAATTGATGTGGAAAAAAAACCTGGCGGTGCTAAACACCCGTGGCAGCACTTCCAGATCGATTGTAATGAGGCACTAATTAATTAATTATCTAAATTAACAGAGCAATGAGCACGGATGCATAACCTTTAAGCTCGTAAATCCAAGTGCCAGCCACAGACCAGGATTGTGAGTGAGGAAACTTGAATCTCTTTACAGAAGTGATTCCGATTCCTTTGACTTTTGTGCTGTGACACAAGCTAGCTGTCGACTTGCAATTCTCACACTCGGGGAATAAGGGGACACTGTATTCAGCTAAACTCAAGACAATGCTATATTCAGGAAGCTTCCTACACACGCAACCAGCAGCTGCAAACAGACCAGATTTCACATTGAATAATTTTCAGTACAGGTGTTTTTTTCACACAGACTCGCAGCCGGCAAATTTATGCCAGACCTGGCTCCAAATTGAGAGCAAATTGGCAAACAGAAAAATCAACTCCATTGTGTAGTTAACAAATTTGCTAAATGACATATTAAGCGTTTTGTTGTCATGGAAAGATTAAGTAAATTAATGTGTAATGTGTCAAGGTTTGCTCTGTGGAAAAAAAGCTGTAGCTCTGGAAATGTATGGTAAGCAGTACAAAATGGAAAGGGCATATAAAAAGGACAAATATATATAAAAAAAGGAAAATAAAAAAAAAATTATTTTCAACTTCTCCTAAAGAACAAAAAAAAAACTATTAAAAGGAAAACTTGAATGGTTTTAATAAATGTGATTTTTTTTTTTTTAAAGGTTTTAAACAGATGCTGTTAACTGTTTTTACAATAAATATATACATTCTTTCTTTTACAAATAAATATTCAGTATATGATAAAGGATTAGTGGAGCACTGTTGGTTAGCTAAAGAGGGTGTACAGCACTGTAATTCTCCTTCAGCCATGGTGTGTTTGAATCTTCAGTTAGTTTAGTGAATGAGGTTATCAGGACAGCATCAGAAGACGATAGAATAAAGGTCATCTCTTGTCGGTTACATGTGCATGCAAGTTTGTACAAACACACTAATTGAAATCAGTACAACTTCACCTCATTCATTAAACCTTTTGTTCTAAAAAGTGAATTTATATTTAACTTAAAGAATGAGGTGAAGGTGTGCTGTGGAGGAGCCAGGAACGCCGTGACGTCACGCCGCCGGAGCATCGTGGAGCTCCGGCGGCCATCTTTAACATTGGGCGGTCAGTCCACACATTTCTCCTATACACTGCTGTGTATCACCAATTGTTTTTACCTAAAAATAAACCATTTGATTTACCTACTACACTATGGATATGTCTCTGTCTTGACTCCCTTGGGGAGTATCAATTTACAGCTACTCATCTCTCTGCTGGGAAAGGAACGTATGTAAGCATTAAGGAGCAGTCCACAGGCTACCTTCCAAGGGGATTACACAGGAATATCCAGGAGTTCTGGAGGGAGGCTATCATATTGCAGATCCTATCCTGACCAGCTGATGACTCCAAGGGAAATTTATACTTATAAACGCCCATTTAACTGTGCGTTCTGGTGAGTGTGCATTTCTTCAGCACTATTTCGCACAGTACCTGATCATCAGGAGGATATGAAAAAGAGGAGAGCACTTGAAGTCACCTTGATATTATCATATGAACTGTTTTATTCATTTATTCATTTATACGTATACTTATCTGTATCCATACATTCATTTAATTATAGTGTTCCTCTTCTGTAGCGCTGCAGCTTCTGATTTATATATTGTTTTTGGGGTTTATGGTTACCTGGTGCTCAGCTGCTACTTTACATTTATAGGTGCGCTCGTATACATTTTCTTTATTTTCTGAAAACATGACTGTTCATTTTACTGCAGTTTTTCAAACTGATTTTAGAGTGGCAAGGTCAACCTTTATTATAACTACCTTGTGCAATCTCAGTGTTGTCATAAGAGAAGCTGCAGTGTCTGCATCCCTTTAGAAGTGGATGAGCCTTAGAAGGCATCCCAGCAAAAATGGAACTACTATTGCAAGGGCTGCTTGGAATGTGACTATGTCAGTGCAGGCATCTTCAAAAAGCAGTAATTTAAATTACACAGACAGGAAATAAGATTTCTGGGGTCATTTTGTTATACGACAGTGTACAGAATGCCTCTAGCTTGGCTTATTAGAAGAAAGCAACATTTGCATTTTTCACTATCTATGAAAATTACAGCATTGAAACAGAAAGGTCATTTTAATAACATCAAATGGCAATACAGACTTGCAGCAATTATATATATATATATATATATATATTTACAAAACAAAATAATTATAGACAGCCATAAAGACTAGTACATTTGTTAATAAAATAACAAAGGTTGCTGAGGGTAATACCTTAAGGGGAATATTGTTTCCTTTGTTTTTTATAAGACAGGTAAATAAGAAATATTAATTATAAAAGTATGTAGTTTCTGTTGTTAAAAAAAATATATAGTTCAAGATAAATGAGTCAGGAAGATGCTTTCCTATGAGAAAGCTCACGCCAAGGTTTCAATCAGATAGACTGCTGCAGTGCTGGCTCTTTAGCTAACCCTACAGTGCTCTACCTATCCTTTTTATGTGTTATATTTTTATTAGTAAACAAGGATAATGTGTGTGTATATACTGTGTAACAAACAAGATACACCTGTGCTCAAATTCCAATAGCTAATACATGCATTTATTCATCAGGTGCCAAAGGCACCTGTAACCACATATCAACACCAGAAATTCTGAAGGGCCCTCTGCACACTGCTATATACCCTTCCCAGCAGACTTTACAATAAAGAATAGGGACATTTGGTTCACAGATATCGCAATACATGTCTAAGCTGGCCAACTGCGTCAAAGTAATCCCTCTATGGCCAGACTTACTCTGCCTACACAAATGCTACTGTGGACACAATGCCAGATATACTGTGTAAAACGCAGAAATAAAACAACAGTTTAAACACTTGCCCTCCTGAGGAGTGATGGGCACAAAAGCCCCAGCTATTTGGGACCCTCCTGCTACTGTCAATCACAGCCAGTGAGCCAATGAGGAGAGGGTGTGGGGCCTAGCTGTGGTTCTGTGTGTGAATGGACATGCAAGCTGCTTGCTGTGGGGGCACTCGGCAGGAGGGAGGGGACAGGAGCGCCAGTGGAGGACCCGCGAAGAGGAGGATCCGGGCTGCTCTGTGCAAAACCACTGCACAGCACACAGCAGGTAAGCATGACATGTTTGGTTTTCTTTGTTTGTTTTGTTCTTTTTTTTAATTGCTTTTAACCACTTGCCCTCCAGAGGATTTCCTCCCTTTCCTGACCAGGCCATTTTTTTCTTTACTTTAACTGACAGTTGAGCGGTCATGCAATGCTGCACCCAAATGAAATTTACATCCTTTTTTTCCCACGAATTGAGCTTTCTTTCAGTGGTATTTGATTGCCTTTGTGTTCTTTATTATTTGCGCTATAGGAAAAAAAAAGACAGACAATTTTGAGAAAAAAAACAAAATGTTTTTGACTTTTTGCTATTAAACATGTCCAGTAAAAAAATTTTTAAAAATACATTTTCGTCATAAATTTAGGCCAAAATGTATTCTGCTACATGTCTTTGCTAAAAAAAAAATCTCAATACGTGTAAATTAATTGGTTTACATGAAAGTTATAGCATTTACAAATAGAGGTATAGATACTGGAATTTTGTTATTTTTATTAGTAATGGCGGCGATCAGTGACTTATAGTGGGACTGTGGGACTGCAGCGGGCATTCTGACACTGGGGGGAACTGACTTGGTGTCACTGACATCCCAATACAGTGATCAGTGCTAAAAAAAAAGCACTGACACTGTATTAATGGCACTGGGAAAGAATGGGTTAACATGAAGGGCGATCAAAGGGTTAACTGTGTGCTGTTTTACTTGTGTCTGTGTACTTCAATGTAAGCGCACTGCAGTGTGCACAAGCTGAAAGGGAGGAG